GGGGGGATGCTTTAAGTCACACAGTAGTGACAGAGTTCTCAGGGTTACCACCAGCTACTGGCAGCTTCCAGCGAGTTCTATGGGAAGATGCTTTTTAAGCAGCACAGTTGCAAGAGCTGGTAAAGTTCACAGTCACCAAGGTGGATTGCCGGTCTGAGGGCAGCCTTCCACAAGAACTGGAGCGAGGTCCTACAGCTCCTTCATCAGGCGGAGTGGCTCTTGCCCCAAGCCTGCCATCCAGCGGTGATCTTTACAATATGGAACGCTGCCTCCTGGGCCATGGATTCTTGTCCTGGTATAACGGTTTTTCCCTTAAGTCATGCTCTGCGCTGGGTCTGCTCTAGGCATTCCTCAAATTATAAGCTGTTTGTTCCTTAATTCATGCTCTGTACTGTATCTACCCCAGGCATTCCTCTGATCATAAATTAAGACATATATATATGAATAACTGAGTGGTAAGATATTCTTCAGGCACTCATTCTATGAACTAATATATGATTATCTATAGAGGATCGTATAAAGGGGAATAACTGAGTAGTAACACTATAAACTGAGATACTCTCCAGGTCTTAATTGTGCCAGGATTCTGCTTAGCTTTCCTTCCTTGGACCCATATGGGGGGTTTCCCACAAAGAATACAGCATGGCCAGGTGGGAGGAGAAGATGGTACCCGGCAGAGGGACAAGCATGAGGAAGAGGCCTGGGGGTGCAATTATCACAGAACTTTGGTGAGCTGTGAGAAGTCTGCAGTAATGAAGCCTCAGTTACTGGGGTGGACTCTTTCCACAGGGAGGAGAGAATGTCAGGAGGGAAGATAGGGAATGAGGGGTGGGCGGGAACTCCCATGGAGGCCCTATCTCTCTGCACAGCAAATCAACCAGGAAATCAATTCACCATTTATACATGCAAGTTATCTCTCTCTCTCTCTCTGTCACACACACACACACACACACTCACAGAAACCCACACACATACACAATTGCAGGCAGAGATTCAGACACAGACATGCACATGCATGTGCACACACAGACATATATAAAAACAAGGAAGAAACTGCATGTCATCTCGAGAGTTGTGTCTGTCCCATTCTGCCCACTCACCTGTCATCTTGGGGGCTCTCTCAGCTCATGAAGGACTTCTGAAGGACTTCAAGCAGGACGTCACTCTGTGATCTGAAACATTCAGACAGCTCCTCACTCTGACATTCCTTCCTGGTCCCCTGGGTTCTGGGATGAAGCAGCGTCCTGTTGGTTTCTGCTGCAGCAGATGAGAAACCTCTCCCCTGGGGCAGAACTTCGGGGCCACCAGAGCGCACCCCTCTGCTATTTGCCCTCAGGGCACCTTGATCTGCAAGGTGGGAGGAACTGCCCCAACCCCCCAAAATAAACCCTTTATGGATCCCTCCCTCATCCACCATGATGTCACAAGCTGTGTGCCAAGAAACTCAGGGCACGAACTCACTGAGCAAACCCTCTGGGCTTATGGAAATATTAAAAAGATAAGCAGTGCCATCTCCTGGACACCACTAAGAAGTGCTAGTGGTGCTAGCACTAGGAAGTGCTAGTCCAAGGTATTTGATAGTTTCAACATTAGACTATACATCATTGCTTTAGATGACATGGTATTTTTACAATCTGTGATTTCAGCAGTTGCTGTGATCAAAAAAACCAGGATCCCCTGCCAAAATCGATATGAAACAGGAAATGAGGGCAGCTGTGCCCAATCTATTTCCAAGGTTTGAGAAACTGCTCAGTGCCCATCAGATACCCATGTCCACTAGTACACACTTGTGCTTATTTGAGAATAAAATAGGAAGAACTGATGTGCAGGTCGGAATAAAAGCAGGTGTGAGAGAGTCCAGCAGAAGAAAACATGGCTGCCAAAGTGTTTGAGTCCGTCGGCAAGTTTGGCCTGGCCTTAGCTGTGGCAGGAGGTGTGGTGAACTCCACCTTAAATAATGTGGATGCTGGGCACAGAGCTGCCATCTTTGATTGATTCCATGGAGTACAGGACATTGTGGAGGGGAAGGGACTCACTTTCTCATCCCATGGGACAGAAACCAATGATCTTTGACTGCCCTTCCAAGCACCTCATGTGCCAGTCATCACTGGTAGCAAATATTTACAGAATGTCACCATCACACTGCTTGTCCTCTTCTGGCCCATCACTAGTCAGCTTCCCCGTCCTCCCCTAGCCAGCTTCCCGGCATCTCCACCAGCATGGGAGAGGGCTATGATGAGGGTGTGCTGCCGTCCATCATGACTGAGATCCTCAGTCAGTGGTGGTTGGCTTTGATGCTGGAGAACTAATCCCCCAGAGAGAGCTGTTCCCCAGCCAGGTGAGTAACGACCTCACAGAGGGAGCAGCCACCTTTGGGCTCATCCTAGCTGACATGTCCTTGACAGATCTCACCTTTGGGAAGGAGTTCACAGAAGGGGTGGAAGCCAAACAGGTGGCTTAGCAGGAAACAGAGAAGGCCAGGTTTGTCGTGGAAAAGGCTGAGCAGAGAAAGGCTGCCATCATTTCTGCTGAGGGTGACTCCAAGGCAGCTGAGCTGATTGCCAACTCACTGGCCACCGCATGGGACAGCATGATGGAGCTGCACAAGCTGGAAGCTGCGGTGGACATCGCACACCAGCTCTGTCGCTCTCTCTCAGAACATCACCTACCTGCCAGAGGGGACATTCGTGCTTCTCCAGCTGCCCCAGTGAGGGCCCACCCTGCCTGCACCTCCATGGGCCAACTGGGCCACAGACCAGATGATTCTTAACACTGCCTTCCTTCTGCCCCCTCCCCAGAAATCACGGTGAGATTTCATCATTGGCTTACAGTGAAGGAGATAAAGGTAAAATCTCTTCATATCTTTAGTCTATCAAATGACTCTTTGGTTCTTCTCACATCCATCTACTTTTTTATCCACCTCCCTACCAAAAATTGCCAAGTGCCTGTGCAAACAGGCTTTAGGTCCCAATTTGGGGCCTGCTGAAGCTCTGGTCTGGCACCAGCGGTTGGCAGCCTGCAGGCAGGGCAGTGTCTGATGGACTGGGGAGCACAGGTGTCCTCCTGGGTCCATGTGTGGCCTCCATCCTGTTGCAGATGAGGCACATGTGTCTGAACTGAGAAGGCAGGCCTCCATCTTCCCAGAGGTTCCTGCACAGATGCCACTGAAGAGAGATGCCGGGGAGGGGCAGAGAGGACATAGTCTGTCTCTTTCCATAAGGCTGATTCTCTTTAGCTGTGTGACCAGCAGGTGTGTGTGAACTGGGCATGGATTAAAGAATCTGTCCCTGTTGAGGTGGGTGGGCCTGATTGTTGCCCCCCAGAGTCCTAAACCTTGGATGGACTTGGATAGTGAGGAGGCCTGGACTGAGATGTGAGCCCCCTTGAAGATTCCCTCTCTACATCCAGCTGGGTCCTTCTCTAATACCCAAGTGAATTCCACCTTGAAAGATTGCATCCTGCTGGGGCTGAACCTGCCACCAAAGATGTGTCTGACCTGCGTTCCTGGCTCCCCGGTTTAGAGACTGCCCTTCTCCAGGGCTCTGTGCCTGCGCTGGGAAGGAAACTACCACGGGAAGGAAACAAATGTGGAGAAACTGCTGTTGATAAATGACACCCAGCCCTTCCAGCTCAGAAACAAACAAACACAAAGAATGAAATAAACATACTACATTTTCAATTTTCGTGAAATGTTTTCTTAAATGGTGATTAAATTGCTAGGTCATAAATATTTATTGTTTGGTACTAATTATTTAATAAATACATTCTTGGGTATTTCTTTCTTTCCATTTTTTTTTTTTTTTTGAGATGGAGTCTTGCTCTGTCCCCAGGCTGGAATGCAGCGGCGCCATCTGGGCTCACTGCAACGCCTACCTCTCAGGTTCAGGCGATTCTCCTGCTTCAGCCTCCTGAGTAGCTGGGACTATACACATGCCACCATGCCAGGCTGATTTTTGTAATTTTAGTAGGGATGGGGTTTCACCATGTTGGTCAGACTGGTCTCGATCTCCTTACTTCCTAGTCCTTCCACCTCAGCCTCCCAAAGTGCTGGGATTACAGGTGTGAGCCATCGAGCACAGCCTTTCTTTTGTTTTAGGGTTGCCTTAAAAGTGTTATGGAGACACCTTCTGGATTTTCCCTGGACCACTCAAGGCTTCTGCTTCCTGCGGGAATGCTCACCTCCTTGAAGCCAGGACTCACACATTACCTTCTCGACAGACCTTCGGATTTGGGCTACTGAGGACCTGGGGGCTCCCCTCCTGTTCTTCCTCCCCACAACCTTATTCCCTGTGCCCTGAATCATCTGTCACCTTCCTATGTCCCATGCAATGTACCTGCTGGTTGTGTTCACCTGCTGTCCACACTGGAGCAGGGATTCTGTCTGTTTTCCTCAGAGGAGCATGCGCAGCACAGCCCATTGTCGGTGCTGAGCTGTAGGAACCCTGTGAGTGAATAAATGAGAGGCAGCGATTGGGGCGGGGCCTCTTTCTTGTCAAATCACTCACTATGGTTTAGATGGTAACTTAGGACATGGTGAGAGCAGTATTTTCTGGGCACAATAAATCTGAATATATTGTGAAGAGAAGAAGTAGAAAGAAATGTTAGGTGGAAGAATATACATTTTCAAGGAGTTAGAAAGAGTGAGAAAAAAGCCAATCGGGAAAGGGGCGAGGTTGGCTTGGTTGTAGCTAAGCTGGTGGAGAAACGCAGCCGTCTGTGATAGAGGGCCTGAGCTGTGAGGTTTCTCTGCAATGCCGAGACCACCCCCACCACCTGCCCTGCGCCCTCCTCTCTCCCAAGGCTGAATGCAGCTCTTGTGCCTCCAATGCCAAGGAAGCCACAGTCCCAGGCCCGAGGAAGGGCTGAGGTGGACAGTGGAAACGAGGGGGTGGTGCAGAAGGAGAAGCCTGACAGCAGGGATTCCCTGAGGATACACAAAATATATCACTTGAAAATGGAAAAGAAAGTAAGGCTATAAAGAACAAGATGGAATTCATGTGTAATTTTATTATGCGGTGTTTAATTTTAGGGTTTGGCACTTACATGTATAACTTTTATTCAATTATCAGCATACAACTTGTGATTATTTTAAACGATTGGAGTTTAATTTTTTGAGCTGGGTTAGGGTTTATAGTGCAGAGTTCTCTCAGTTAACCCCATTTTTTTTGGCCTTATGTCATTTTTATTTATTCATCTTTAATTTCAACCTATATTATAGATTAAAGGGTACACATAGAGGGCTGCTACACGGGTAGATTTTGGGAGGCTGAGGCTTGGTGTCCCAATGATCCCATCACCCAAACAGTAAGCAGGGTCCCCAACAGGTGGTTTTCAGCCCAGGTGCGCCTCCTCTCTCCCCCATCTAGTGATCTCCAGCATCTGGTTCATGTGAATTCAATGTTTAGCTGCCACTTTCAAATGGGAGCATGCAGTATGTGGCTTTCTGTCCTTCATTAGGTTGGTTAGGATAACAGCCTCTAGCTCCATCCGTGTTGCTGAAGTGGACATGATTTTGCTGTGTTTCATGGCTGCATAGATTTTCATGGTGTCTATGTGCCACATTGTTTTCATTCAGTTCACTTAGATTGACTCTGTGTCCTTGCTAGTGGGAATAGCACTGCATTGAACATATGGGTGCAGGTGTCTTTTTGACAAAATAAATACTTTTCCTTTGGGTATATCCCCATTAGTGGAGTTGCTGGTTTGAATGGTAGTTCTATTTTAAGTTCTTGCAGAAATCTCCACAATGCTTTCCATAGTGGATGAACAGGTTCGCTTTCCCACGCACAGTGTCTGTTTCCTTTCTCTGCAGCCCCACCACCATCTCTGACTTTGTGACAGGTAAGAGGTGGCAACTCACTGCGGTTTTGATTGGCACCTATCTGATGATTTGGCCACTTGCATGTCTTCTTTTAAAAGTGTTCATCTCTTTACCCATTTGTTAATTGGATTTTTTGTCTTGCTTGTTGAGTTCTGGATATTCAACAAGATTCTGTAGATATTAGATTCTGGATATTAGACCTTTGTCAGGTGAGATTACAGTGAGTGATGATTATGCCACTTCACTCCAGTAAGTTTTACAGAATGAGAAGATGTAAAACACCATAAAAATAAAAAGGATTAATACGATTCTTGGTCAGTGCGTGGAAAGGATCCCTGAGGTCTGAAGCCCAGCATGCGATTTTACTAGCAATATGGTTTGGAAGAACGAGGTCATGCTGCAGAGAAGTGTCTGCTTTCCCACAATCACCAAAGTACAAAGAAAATGCTTTTTGCTGGGATTTCTTGTCCAGTTCTAACTTGTGCAGGAATTCCATCCATTAGCACCAAGAGAAAGTGACAGAAGATGTGAAGAAAAATAGCATGAGAGGTTGGGTCTCCAACGCCCTCATCATCTGCTGCAGGCTGTGGGCTTGCTAAGGCTTGACCTCCTGGCTGTCCAGCAAGGCACAGTGGTGAGTAGATGGGTGGCCTTCCTGAGGGAGAGCGGGAGGCAGACCAGGCAAACAGTGGTTGCTTGTTGTCATCTTCCACCTTCAGAAACATGAAGCATTGGTTTAAGTGGCTGAGAAAAACCTGGGTCTGTTCTCCTGGGTGATCCCTCCCAGGCCCTCCCCACTTCGGAGCCTCTCCCCCAGATAAGGACCATGATTTCCCTCCAACCCTCCCCCTGGCTCTGCAGCCTCCCAACCTCCTCCCTCCTTCACCACATCACAGAGCCAGCCCAGGCCCTGCTACAGCCCACAGGGGCTCAGAACTGAGGCTGGGAAAGTGGGGTCTGCACCATCACTCAGGGCCTGCTCCTTCTTCTTACAGAATGACCTTCTCACAGGTCCTCCTTCCCACAGAGTACCTGGGGGCGCCCTGTCCGAAGAGTGTTCTCTGGATCCACGTTCCGTGCCCTTGGGTGGGCTTGCAGGCAAACCTGCTCTTTCCCCTTCACTCTCAGCCTCTCCTCACCCTGGGAGCTGCACCCATAGCTCTGAATGGAACTGTCCCCACCCTGCCCCATTCATTCCTTGCCAAGCTCGGTGGTGACCCTGGAACTCCAGCAGCAGCTCACCTCCATGTCTGCATCCACTTTGCTCCAGGCAGGGCCTTCAACTGGCTCAGGATCTGGAGCGTGCAGGAGGCGGGAGGGCAGGGGCGCTGCCGCAGAGCCCTGCTGGCAATCTCATGGGTTCTAGGGGCTTGGCCTTTTCCTAAACCTCTTCCTGGACACACTCTACTCTTCACCTTCCACCTTAACTGCTGGGACCAGAGCTGCTTTCTCTGGGAACGCAGCCTTTGGAATGGGGTGAACCCAGGCCCTCACAGCCCCTCGTCCTGGGATTCCCCGAGATCACTCTTCTTAGCCTCCTTCAGGGATGCCCTTTCCCCTGACATCCTAGATGAAGCAGCCGTGCTGCTCCTCTCATATTGTGCGGACGGCCCATGTCTGAGTTCCTGCTGCATTGCGGGCCACACACCACTACCCTTCCCAAATAGGAACCTGCTCTGAAACAGGCCTGAATTGGCTCAACAGACCCTGAGCCTCAGTATGGGCCCCTTCCTTTCCCTCCAGCCTCTGAAGATGTGAATCCATCAGAACTCAGGGCTGAGCTGCCCCAGTCATTGCCAACAAGTGACACAAGGTCTCATTTACCTGTCTCATGCCAGGATGGAAAGGTCCCAGCCATGGGGAGGTGGGAGACTCTGGGAATTCTCCTTTCCCATCCTCCCTCTTCACCCGTCTGCTTCTTGCTCCCCTCCCAATTCTGCCCACAGTACCTGTCACTCTAAAGACTCTCCTCAGATGACATATAGGATGACACAGACAAGGACGAGAAGGAGGCTCCAGGGACTGAGGCTGGTGGCCATGGATTTGGGTTGGGCTGTACCTGGGGTCACGGTGGGTGATGCTGAAATGGAAACACAAGAGTGACAACCCTTGTCCGCCCCAATTCTTATGAGGACAGCTCCTTAGCTCCTGCCACCCCAGGTCATCCTGCAAGGCAGAGGTTTTGTCCCCCTCTGCTATGGTGCAGCAGCTGTGACAGGTCCTGGGGCAGGAACAAAGAGGGGGTGTCCCCTGTCCTCAGAAAACTCACACAGTTGCTGAGGGCAGCAAGGTGACAGAACAGCCCACCCTCTTGCTGTGGTGGAAGAAGAGCTGAAGCCCCAGGGCGGGGAAGGGAGGATCTCCGGGCTGGCATTGGAGGTGGTTTTCATGGATTTCCAGAAACACACCAAGGGAGAGGAAAGGAAAAGCAATCCTAGGAGGAGGGAAATATAAGGAGAAAGGTCTAGAAACACAATATGCCCATAGTTTTGAGGCTGGCGAGAAATCCACAGTGAGGGCAGCAGAAGCACGTGCAGTGAGGAAGAGGAGTCAGGAGGGAGAAGGGAGAGGAGGATGGGAGAGTACAGGCGTCCCCAAAAGGTGGTCCCCCATGAGGGGTCATGTTTTTACTCAAACTCACACACTCACACACACACACACTCCCACACCCACAAACACTGATACCCACTCACACCCATACACCTGCACCCACCACAGACACTGACAGACAAGGCTGTAACTTGACCGCATCTCCAGGCGCTCCCAGTGCTCCCCTGTAGTCACCTGTGGGCTCCAGCCTCTTCTCCCTGTGCATCAGGAAGTCCCGAAGCCAGCTCCCGCAGTCTCCTATGGAGACCTTCCAGAAGAGATCGGTCAGTTCCCTGTCCTCCTCCCACTTCTCTTTCATCCGCCTGGCTCCAGCATGAACCACTGTCCACTTTTTGCTGTTTGAGTCAAAGAGGAGGCACTCCTGTCCATGAAATCTGAACTTCCAGGATGCTTTGCTGTGTCCATCGGCTTCACACTCACAAGACATCCTGGCCTGCAGCACGACGGGTCCTGCTCCAATCAGAAAGAGGTCAGCTCTGGTCTTTACAAATTCTCTTCCCTGCCCCACATCCTCCTCCTCTGAGCCCCTTCTCATCTGGCTCTGTTGTCTCCTCCAAGCCCTGTCCTTGCTGCTGGGCTTCATGGAGGCCCCATGTCTAATGTCTTCTCCCCGCACTCAGTGCAGCCCCTGAGCCCACAGTCTGCTCCCTTCCATCCTCGGTCTCCTCCACTCACCACTGGGGGTGAAATTCTCCAGCTCAAGGCCAGGCAGTTCCAGTCTGAGCCTCTGCCCTGCCTCTCTCAGCATTTCCAGTTGTCTTCCCCAGACATCTGTGGCATTCAGCTGCTCTTCTAGGCGACCCACAGATAAGACCTTGTCACTGCCACAGTCATAGGAGAGGAAATTCTTTTGATCCACCTGGCCTTGGACCTCACACCACCGTTGTCCAGGTCTGGGCTGATGGATGATGGTGAAGTTGTACCAGAGAGAGTGAGCATCTATGGGAAAAAAGAAAAAACACTGGAGAGTGTTGGGGTGGGGAAAGACCTCAGACACTGTGACAGCAAGAGGGTTTCCTGCAGGGCTGGGCTGCCACAGCATGGACTTCTCTTCCTGGGCAGTGGTCTCTGCCTGTGGAGGAACCACGGGTCCCCAATGTGACCATCTCCCCACTCTGCCCAGGCCTATACATACATCGGTCAGCACAGGACCTTGCCAGGGAGGTGCCAGGCCTCCTACAGGAGGAAGGGCCTAAATGGCAGGATCTTCAGCAGCAGCCCAGGTGGACTGTGGGAGGTGGGAGAGTGTGGGAGGGCACCCTGAGGATGCTGGAGCATGGCACAGTGGGTATGATGTACTCAGCATTGGAGAAAAGTGAGTTTATTTATTATGGGTAACAAGACACAGTAGGTTCCCTGGAATGTGCCTCTCATCTGCTAGTAGGTTGCCCTTGGGACGTTAGAAAAAGAATGACCCACATTGCAGGAAAGAAAAACCCAACTCTTATGTGGTGGGTTGTAGAGGAAGGAACAAAAGGCTGAGAGAAGCGCCCATGCCAGAGTGGCTGCAGCATGAAAATCCAGAACATTGTCCATCCTCTGTGCTCATGGGAAGCCTGGAGGACTCCTGTTTACCCAGCATATAAAGAAGTCCCCAGGAGAAGGCAGCAGACTGTCGAGAAGCTCAGGGGTGCCTGTTGCTGAAGGCTGGGGTTGGGGGTAGGAGATGCTATTCCTGCAATGGGCTCCCAGCAGTAATGGGGATGGAAAATCCTGTCAGGAGGAAGGAGGGCACCATGATGGAAATGATTGGGGAAGTCCCAATGCCATCTGGGGACCTCAGCCATGCAAAGCCATGCCCATGGCTCATAGAATGAAGTGGTCCAAGATCCAAAAGAGATGGAGACTCCACGCGGCTACTGCTAGACTTAAATAATTACAACAAACAAAGACAAAACGCAAGGATGGATGACCTGGAGCTGAAAGGAGTCATCCCAGGAAACAACCGAGCTCCTTTGCTCAACTGTGACAACTGAGCCACATCTCAGACCCAGAGTCCATAACTAGGAGAAGAGCCCAGAGCCCCCGGTGGGCCCCTTCAACCCACAGCAACTGCAGTGACTGCTTCAGCCTCCCCACGGAGTCAAACGGGCATTCACTTTGCTAACTGTACACCAAGAAACAGCAAATGCCCAGACATGCCTAGTGGACACAGTGTGCGACCCGACCTCCTCCCAGGGATCTGAAGCATTCACTTGCTCCCCGTTACTCAAGAGGTGAATTTCGGGCAAAGTAATGGATGGACACCTGTGTCAGGTCCAGTTAGAGGATGTGCTGCATTCATAGACCCATTTGATGGTAATTTCACATTTCCTGGATTTGTACCAGGAGGGGATAGAGTTTGTCGTTAATTCCATAACTATTACCGGTTGTGCTGGTCATATGACCTCCCCGTCACTACTCAACCCTGCTCTTGTAGCTGGGGTGCAGCCATACACAGTCTGTGAATGAGGAGTGCGGCTGGCCCTGCCACTACAGCTATTTGACCCTGGACTCCCTAAGTTCTCAGAGGCATGTGTGGTTGGAAAAGGTGCTGTGTGGATTTCATGGCAATTCCCAACCGCAGAATCACAACTGAGTCCCCCAGCGCTCAGAATCAAGGCTGTGCCACTCACAGCTGCAAAATCTCTTCATTGAAAAGTGGCTCCAGGTGTGTTTGGGCCCTGGTGGAGATGGGCCTCCCTATGGGACGGCAGTGACCACGCAGCCTCAGAGCTGCCATCACAGGGTGTGCTCCTCACCCTCTAGGTCATTACGAAGGTAGGCCTGGCTGTGAGAAGATGCAAGTGGTTCTCCTGGGATGGGCAGGAGCAGGGCCACAGGGAACCCAGAAGCTGCACAAGCAATTGGCCCCAACACCACATGGCTGCACCCCCTCACCCTCAGCTCACTGAGGAGAGTTGCTGATGGCCCAGGTGGATCATTGATGCCACTCAGCAGCAAAGGAGGGGAGAGTAGGCCCCGAACCATGGGACCCCCACTCAAATCCATCACATCCACACCACCCAGAAGCCACAGGCAGGGCAGAACACACTGTGACTCTTCAACTGACACCACTTGGAGATGACACACTAGGGGATGGAGCACCAATTGCCAGGACACAGCAGGTGCCCTCATCTGGGGTCAGCAACCTAGGACGGTGTCCACATCCGGTCTCCCTTTTATTTCCAGGTTGCTTTGCCCGATGTTGCTCTACAAAGGGACAGGACTTGACACAGAGACAGAAAAGCCATGGCCGGAAAGGACCACAGGCCTTCAGCCTTTCCTTTCTAGAAAGGGTTTGCTGACTCCTGTCTATAGTCACTCCAGTGACTATTCTCTATGACCCCGGCTTCCCAGTAGGATGAACAGGTGGGTCTGGTCCCTAAGGGCAGAAGTGGCACCTCTACTCACCAGCGTTCCCAGGGTCATCCTGGGGGAAATGGTGCTTCCCATCCCTGCTGCACTAGGTTCTGTGGGAAGCATGGGGTACATTTGCTGGGGTGTCCTCAGGCAAGGGGGGAGAAGGTGCCAGTTGGTCGGGAGGTGCTAAGGGCCCCTTTATGGATGGGGAGGTGAGGGAGGCCTGTGGAATGATGGGGCTGGGCTGAGGTGGGGAGTGAGAGGATGTGATCTGGGAGGTGGCAGTGGATGGTAAGGGAGGGGTGGGACGTGTCTTCTGAGCCTCTGAGTGCAGGCGAGTGGCTGCAGGAAAATGCCAGGGGAGGTTTCAGGGCAGGGAGTCCTGAGGTTCCTGGAGGGTTTGAGGGTTTGTGTCATGGAGCGCGGGTTAGTGCAGAGCAGGCCTGTGGCTGGTGGGAGTGTCTGTCATCGTGTCCCTGTGGAACTCACTTCACCCCTGTCCTGACCGCAATTCGATCGAGTTCCACGGGCTCTCGTTTCTCTTTCCCGACAGCGAGTGGTGCTGTGGGGCTGCTCGAGGAATCCCTGTCCCACCTCGCCCTCTGCAGCCCTCTGACCCCTCCACCCTCCTGAGGTTCTTCTTCGGTCTTCTTTGACAATCGTCCTGGCTTGGGGGGCAAGCGGCAGCCGCAGGCAGTGAACCGAACGGAAAGGAGCCGCGAAAGGGAGCTGAGGGCGGGTCGCAGTCCGGGGAGATCGCTCCGGTCTCCCCTCTTCTGAAACCCGCTGCAGTGCACAGCCCCCAGGATTGGGCTCCACCCCGCAACTCACCGGCGCGCCACGTCCGGGACCAGCCAGACAGCCCGAGCAGAAGTGACAGGCAGGGAAGGAACGCGGAGCTGGCGGCGTTTGCCATTGGAGTCCTGGAGCGCAGCCGAGGAGAGTCGCGATCAAGGCCGAGACCGGCGGATGAAATGTGTGGCAACTCCCACACCTGCGAACGCGGCCGGCGCGGCTCCACCCGGCCCTCACGGCTTTCACGCTGTCGCTGCGCTCGCGCAGAACTTCCTTCTCTGACCGCCTCATTTACCTTTCCACACAGCATTTACTATTTCCCCGATGTAAATACTGATGCACAGGAAGGTGAAGAAACTTGCACAGGAATGTTCAGCGGCCCCGGTGTGTTCCGGTCACCATCAGCGCCAGAGACAACGGCCTCCCTCCGCGTGAGTCCCCACCTTCTTGCCCAGGTCGCAGGCGCTTCCTTCCCCAGTCCAGAGCGGACCTTCTTTGCCTCTCCACTAAAAGCATGAGGAGGTCTTTGAGTATATTCTATATCCGTTTATGACTTCTGGAAAAAACCAAAAAGAAGAAAGCCCTAGTGGCCTACCCTGATCAATCATGTGATCAATTGTGTTTCCATGGAGAGCGGAAACCGAGGGAGGAGCCTATGCATGCGTGGGGCTCACTTTGCTCCCGGTTGTGGGAAGCAGAAAAGTTCCTTCTTAAAGTTTCCTTTCTTGTTAAAGAATAAGTGTGCTGATAACTTTGTTAGGTCCTATCCTATGTAGCTGTTACATGCCATGCTTACAGGCAGTAGGACATTCTATGTCCTTGTACTCTAATGAAAACATCTGTGCTAGACATGCTCACAGACATGTCCCAGCTCTCCATTGCTTTTACTTGTTTAGAAAAGTTTTAAGTTGTTAGCTAATCGGGTTTTAGTTTAGATTGTGAGGTCTGGCTCCAGACAACAGAGATCAGTCAGATGCAGCAGTAAGGACGACCCCAAATGCCTAAGGGATAAATGTATGTGTTTTCCTTTATTTATTGTACTCTTGTGGCAAGATGGCTAGTGAGAGTACCTTCCTGCAGTCCAGGAAGTAAAAATTGCGTTGCTGAAAGATCGTCTGTCTAGGTGCTGATTTTTCTTTGCGTCACTGAGCATCTAGTTCCAACACACACTCTTCTGTGGCCAACCACACCTAAGCCCACGGCTGCATCCGCCCCTCTGCTCAGTCCCTGGATGGTCACTGCAGCCATCCTCAAGGGGCAACCCGAGTGCATCCTTGTCTTGGTCACCATGGAACCATCTAGAACTGTGGCCAGAAGCCAGAGGGACTTGGTGGGGGTGGCCAGTGGCCCCTGGCTGCAAGGGAGAGCTTAGCCTGGGGTGAGGACTGGGTGGAGCCCCTGAATCCCACTCTGCCCTCAGCCACTCAGCCTGTTCCCCATTGAATGAGAAAAATCGGCACAGATCTCCCACTCCACACAGTCTCCATGTGGGGAGGACCTGCACCTGGTGACCATCAATCTCCAAGCTCCTGAGGCTGTGGGAAAGGGGAGGAGGCCTGGACCAAGCCCAGGGCCTGTCTTTGCTTTAGGACAGGGGCATGGGATGGCAGCCATCTCTGTGACTGAGCAGGGACACAAGAGCCTGGAAGGTGCTGGCCTGATGCACTGGAGCCTCTGTGCAGGAGGGGCCACGTGGAGTGTGGTCTGGAGGACAGCAGACACACGGGGGTGGGCAGTTCTCAGACTTGGGAGGGGCAGAGCTTGGCGGGTCCAGGGATCTGTGTGTGAGAAGAACCTCCCATGCACAGGGCTAGGGACAGGAGCCAGGTTAATTCTGGGAGAAGCCACTGGGAAGGTCCTAGCAGCCCCACTCCTGAGGCTGGGTGACCTGGGCCAGTGACTGGGGGAGCAGGAGGAAGGCAGAAGGCTGGCAGGAGAGTATGAAGGACAGCCAGGTGAGAGGAGGAGGGGCCTCTGTGCACACCTAGGCCTTCTGCCTCACCCCTGCTGCAGGCATCTGGCTACCAGACTCAGGCCAATCCAGGATGGGGATAGGAGTGGCCCGAAGATGACTGTCATTGGTGTGATCTAGAGACCATGCATTCAGACATGGAAGTTAGCTGACAATGTGGGTGAATATTCTTGTGTGAGGTTTCACCTTTCTGGGCATGGATGTCCACATGTGGAAAATTACAAATGCTATGAACACGGACAAAATGAGCAGATTCTACGGTGAACCCTGTCCTTGCATGTGCTAAGGACCCAGGGCATGTCTCCCATTGCAGCTGTGAGCCCTGCCACCCTCCCTGAAGTCAGCAAATGCCAGGCCCACCCTGAGGAGAGCTGGAGCTCTCAGTCCAGGCCGTGGCCTCTTCCTGGCCCTGGGGTCACCGTGAAGGGGTAGAAATGAATGCAAGACTCACTCCTTAGGACTCGGGCATGTTTTCCAGATGCAGAGGAGGATTTTTCTCTCCATCAACTGGTGAGCCTGAACGGTGATGGAGAGAAAAATCCAGTGAAAGAATGAGACATCACAGCTGTCTCATCCATTCACTGGTTCACTCAGCCTCCAACCACCCTTAAGGGTGGGAGTGAATGGGGCTCAGAGGAATAGCTCAGGTGCAGAGGGGAGCTGGAGTGGAGGTTGTAACTCGCAGGAGACTGAAGGTGGCAGCATTGAGGTTGGAGACCTCTTGGCTGGCACAAGCTGGTAATTTTTTTGCCTTTTTTTTATTTTTATTTTTTTGAGTTGTAGTCTCCGCATGTCATCCAGGCTGGAGAGCAGTGGGATGATCTGAGCTCACTGCAACCTCTGCCTCCTGGGTTCAAGGGATTCTCCTGCCTCAGCGTCCCAAGTAGCTGAGATTACAGGCCCCTGCCACCATGTCCAGCTAATTTTGCAATTTTAGTAGAGACAGGGTCTTCTCACCATGTTGGCCAGGCTGGTCTCAAACTCCTGGCCTCAAGTGACCCACCTGCCCTGGCCTCCCAATGTGCCGGAATTACAGGCATGAGCCACTGCGCCCAGCCATAACTTGGAAATTTGAATGCCAACCTGGATGTCCACAAAGATTCTTCCAAGGGGGAGTAACTTTGGTTTTCAACCAGTCTGGGAGTGCTGCATGATGATAGAATCTTCTAGAAAACATAGTATGATGACAGCAAACTATTCTCTTCAGCAAACTGTTTGAGTCTAGGGTGCAACAGGGCCAGGAAAATCTTGCCTTTTAAGCAAAGAAGGAACAAGTCTGAAAGCAGGAATGGAAACAGGAAAGATAAGGGGCCAGGAGGAAAGAGAAGGAGGAAAGAAGGGTTGGGGTCTGAGAGGGAGCGGCCTGTCAATTCTGTAGAAAATCATATTTCTAGCAGTGCTTGCTTCAGGATTGCAGAGGGAAAAGAACAACAGTGTGTTCACGGAACATTGGCTTTTAGACAAAATGATGCTAGAAGTATATTAAATCCATTTTCACTTCCTATCACTTCTATATTCATAGATCTCATAATATCAGCTCACAGTCTTAATTATCATAGATATGTTAGTAAAATACCCCATCCCTCTCAGTTATTGAAAACACTATGAATTCTCAGCTTTAACAATAAATAGCACATTGTAGAACAGCATGCTGTTTAAACACCTAACTGAGCTGAATTAATCAGACATGCCAAGATATTTTTATGACTCTAACAGAAGCTTAATGAACAAGGTTGAATAGATTTAAATACTTTTAAAATAATATGTCTAAACTGTGTGAATTATGGTCACACTGCCTTTGAGAAGAAATCATCAATTTTGGATTTGACATACAGGATGGCACCCTAGGAAAACATGAAAAAGTCAGGAGAATTGGACCTTTAAGAGTGGAAATGAGCAATGAAAATACACATTACCAGAGTCACCTCCCGGGACGCCTAGACACTGACTTGTGATGTGAGCATTTTTCTGCGTAGAAACAGCAAAACTGTTTAGCTCTAACTGGCAGGCGCCACGTGACACAGCAACAACAGAGCAAGAAAACCAGGAAAATATTTTGCTCAAAATAAAGTTATTTCAAATCTTGTTTGGCAAATATTTTTTTGCTAAGGTGCCTCCTCCTCCCAAGAAACTAACAAAGAGCCACAGCAGTGGCAGTGAGGAACGGGAGAGCAGCACTGTGCGTGTAGAATCAGTAGCGCACTCCGCCCTGAGGATTGTCACTGCAGCTGTCCTGAGGGTTACAGTGTTCCTACCTGACTGCTCCTGGAATGTGCAAACGAAAACCTCAACAAAAATGATCCCTGGCTTGTGGAGATCCACAGGCATTTAACAGAATCAAACATAATATCTCTGCAGAACACAACCTCACGTAGGCAGCAGAGGCTTCCTACAGTAAAAAAAAGCCACGCCACAAAAAAGCTCAGGACCCCACAGAATAAATCAAGAGTGAAACCACAGCGAGTGAGTCAGCCAATCCCACACAGTAAGTCAGGCCCTGAAGGACTGCAGATATTAGAACTACAAATAAAATAGTAAAATATGTTTACTTCAATGATTATATATATTGTTTTATAAAAGAATAAAACACACTGCAAATATTGAGACATTGTCACAAAAGACTAGTTATATGTGAAATAGAACCAAGCAGCACTTACAGCAATGAAAAAATGTATTAATTAAAAATTGAAACTCAACATACTGATGAAGCAGCGTATTAAATATAGGATGGGCTGGGCACAGTGGCTCACGCCTGTAGTCTCAGCATTTTGGGAGGCCAAGGCAGATGGATCACATGGAGTCAGGAGTTCAAGACCAGCCTGGCCAACATGGTGAAACCCCGTCTCTACTAAAAATACAAAAAAGTTAGCAGGGTGTGGTGGTGGGTGCCTGTAATCCCAACTACTTGGAAGGCTGAGGCAGGAGAATTTCTTGAACCTGGGAGGCAGAGGTTGTGGTGAGCTGAGATCGTACCACTGCACTCCAGCCTGGGTGACAGAGTGAGACTCCATCTCAAAAAAAAAAAAAAAAAAAAAGAAAAGAAAAAAGAAAAAAATATATGTATGATGAAGAGTCACTGAACTGGATGGGTCTGAAGAACTCATTCAAAATTTGGTGGAGAGAGTTTCGTGCTGAAACTGCAAGAGAGAAGGGTAAAGATGGATGTGCAATGAGACGCCCCACCTGCCCCTAACAGGACTTCCCAAAGCAGAGAAGAAAATGAGGGAGAGGAAGTTTTCACACAGCTAATGGCTAAGAACTTTCCAGATTTTATGAAAGATATAGATTCCCAATTTTAGGAAACATAACAAATCTCAATTAGAATAAATAAAAATGAATTCACTCCTAGGTGCACTGTGATGAAATTGGAGGGCATCTGAAAGGTCGTCTTCAAGAAGAATATCTTTGAATGGAAACACTTAAAAGGGAAACATTTAAAAACAACTATTGATAAAATACAATAAATTTCTGGGTACGGTGGCTCACACCTATAATCCCAGCACTTTGGGAGGCTGAGTCGGGTGGATCATGAGGTCAAGAGATCGAGACCATCCTGGTCAACAAGGTGAAACCCCGTCTCTACTAAAAATACAAAAATTAGCTGGGCATGGTGGTGCACGCCTGTAGTCCCAGCTAATCAGGAGGCTGAGGCAGGAGAATTG